ACAAATCTTTGTCTTGTCACTCCCTGCTTAAAATAACCAGTCAATGGAATAATCCATCAATCAATGCTTCAAGGGCTCCTCCTTGCCCTCAGGAAAGCATCCAAAGCTGGACCTCAAGGTTTGGTCCCTGCTGCCTCTCCACTCTTTCCTGATTGTGCTGCTCAAGCAGTACACGCCAGCCGCATTGCTCTTGCCACCATATTCCAGACACACATTACTGTGTCTTTGCTCATCCCTGTTGTTTCTGCTGTCTACCCCCATCTTCTCCAGCTGGGGAAGCCCTGCTGAATCTTTAGGGCCAGCCCTGCTATAACCTCCTCCAGGAAGTCTTCCAGGTTGCACCCAGGGAGAGCCACGGCTTCCTCTTCTCCCCTTTCCTGTGTAACTGCTTGTGCTTTTGTTACTATTTGTCAGCTGTCTGCTTCCAGGAGGAGTTTCCTGAGAATCTACTCTATCTGACACATGGTTGTGTCCCAGCAGAGGGGCACAGAGCTGACACGCAGGTCGTGCTGGCTGGTTGGGGAGGCGGATGAATGAACGGATCCATCCTAGAATCACCACTCCTCAGCCAGTCTCAGAACTTGTGCTTCCCAGGGCAAACCCACTTTATAGCCAAAGGGGAAGGAGAAGGAAGGGACTGAGCTGGAAGGGAGAAAGAAAATCAATAAAAATGTAAATCTAGTGGAGAAAAGCTGTCCCAAGCTGGCTGTGGCAAGAGATAAGACTGGGACGGCTGAGCCCTGGCTGACAGCGGAGGAGAGATTAGGGGACAAGCAGAGCTGTGGCCAGGGCAGGGCAAAGGGAGTGTGCCTCCTCCCCGTCTCCTCCACCCCCTCCCACTCTCTGCTCCATGGGCTCATTAAATCCTTCCAGGCGCAGGGGAAGGGGAGGAGTCTGACAACCCTGATCATCAGGTGCCCCTCCTGGGAGCTGGAGGAGCATTATTTTATCTGGTTTGCACATTATGTGGGGGCAGACATCCTGATCAACCTTACTTTGCAGATGAAAAAAACTGAGTGCAGAGGAGTTGTCATTTGTTCAAGTCACTCCAGGAGACTAAGGTCTGCACCTAAATCTGAGTGTCTTTACAGCTCTCACCTTCGCATTCCATGAAGGGTCTGGACCTGAGACCCTGGATTTGCAGGGGTCTCGCTCAACCTCTGAAATTGCACACGCAATTGTATTTGTTTGTATGTGTGTGTGTGTGTGTGTGTGTGTGTGTGTTTAATTATGAAGAGTCTATGTCTTTAATCAGATCCCAAAGGTGATTGCTACCTGTTCCCCTTCCCCGACCCATCCATTGCCTATCCCATGCCTCTCTGGAGGTGGTGACTTTGAACTGGGCCTGGAAGGTTGGGTAGGAGTTCATGAAGCAGGGACAGAGACAAGCCCAGGGGTGGGGATGGAGCAGGCCATGTGGGCGGAGGAAATGGCAAAGCAGCAGGGTCAGGGGAAGAATTCCACATGTCCAGACCTTGGAAGGGCTGCTCTCTCCTCACTCATTAGTGTGCCAATCATGATTCCTGGCTCCCAGCTCCTGAGTGGCGTCTGCCTGACTTGGAACTTCCCGGAATACATGTGCAAGTAAAGGAACTCGGGGCCAGGCATCAGGACGTCAGTCCCCGCCCAGTCTTCTGCTGGATTTTCCCACCAGTAGACTCCAACAGTAAGACTTAATGTCCTCTCCTCCCACTCCGGGAGCAGGGACAGGAGCATAAGCAAATACTGTGGCTCTTTTTTGTTGTTGTTGTTAAATATTATTTTAGGTTTATTTTTTAGTTTTAGGCAGACACAATATCTTTATTTTATTTTTATGTGGTGCTGAGGATCGAACCCATGCATGCTAGGCGAGCACTCTACCACTGAGCCACAACCCCAGCCCATACTGTGGCTCCTCATTGGCCACAGACTATACTGGGGAGGACTGATCCCTAAGGGACCTCCAGCCCTTCTCTGTTCTATCCCTTGGTTATTGGTCCCATGTCCCCCTTTCAGTGACTCCTGAGCCTCTTCACCCTTACCAGTCTGGAAGACTTCAACCATAGAGACAAGAGTCATCTCCTCCAGCTCCAGTTCAACCCAGAGTTGGGCTCCCTGTGAGGTTCATGAATTTGGGGCATAAAAGCCTTGCCCTAGGTCCAGGTCATGCCTCACCAATGACTCATATTGTCATATTTTTGTGAAATTTACACAGGTAAGACACTCTGACCACAATCCAGATTGCAAATTTCTTTCCACTACAATGTCCCTGTGTCTCAATGACACAAGGGACCATTGACATTTCTGGGATCTGGCCAAGGGGGGAGTCATGTTGGGGGTAGATTGAATTCAGGTCCTTTGAAATATGTTTATGTGGATCTCAGATAGTTCTGTGTACAGGTAAATCACTGTAGCCATCTCTGCATAAGAATGGCTTCTAAGAATAACCCTACCAATTGTCCACCTCACTTGGCAATATGACATTAAGGTGTCATATCGTGGTATAAATGTGTTTTGTTTCTTGTGACTTGAAAATATATGGGGAGAGGAGGAGAAATGGGAGATACAAGGTTTGAAATGTGCAAAGCCAGAAGCTGGTCTGTGGAAATGTATTTTAGAGGTATGCATGACAGTTAGTTAATAACTATTTTTCTGAATCATGTGTAGAATTTTTTTTTTTCTCATTCTGGGTAAATATTCACTTTCTTACCTAATTTTGTTCAGGTTCAGCATCCCTAATCCAAAAATCCAAAAGCTGAAATGTCCCAAAATTCAAAGCTTTCTGAGAGCTAATGTAGTAGTAGTACAAGTGGAAAGGTCCATACCTGACCTTAGATCATAGATTACCATCAAAACACAAGCTAAGTGGGTACAGTGGGGCACGCCTGTAATCCCAGCAATTCTGGAGCTTGAGGCAGCAGGATCATCAGTTCAAGGCCAATCCCAGAAGAAACTTAGCAAGGCCCTCAGCAACTTAGGGAAACTCTGTGTCAAAATGAAAAACAAAAAGACCTGGAGATGTGTCACAGAGACACATTGGTGAGGTCATGCCTCACTAATAGTTAAGTGCCCCTGAGTTCAATTCATGGTACAAAAACCAAACCAAACAAAAAACAAAAAGCAAACTACCCTGCAGGCTATGTAGATGAGGTGTCTATGAAACAAAAATGAATTTTATGTTTAAATTAGGATCCCATCCCTAAGATATCTCATTATGTATGCAAATATTACAAAATCTAAAAACAATCCAAAATCTGAAAGACTTCTGGTCTCAGGCATTTTGGATAAGGGATCCTCAACCTGTATTCATAATTTTGAGCTCTTTTTATTAAAGAGGTCTCCCCAAATTGTATTAGCTTCAGTTCCCAAAAATCTGGATGCAACCCTGACTCCACCCTATTTTTTCTGTGTGGTCTTGTGGTCTTTCTGAGCCAGTTTCTTCCTCTGGAAAACGCGAATGACAATGTGGATAGGTGAGGACTCGCACAGCCTCATGACTTTACTTGAATCATTTCTGAAACCATTACTAGAGGATATAACCCAGCCAAACGGAAATTAGACCAGAATATAAAGAGAGAGAAAGATGCAATATACCAGAAATAATGGTGTGCACTGAACCTAGTCAAACTTAAATCTAAATAACTGGAAATAATGTGGTTGTTGCAGACCTCTAATGCAGTTTATAAGAAGGGATTTTTGTAATAAAAGAGACATTATGCATGAACAAATTTAATAATAAGCTGTATCTATAATTTCAGATTATTTCTGTGAAATTTGGGCAACAGGAGGGAAGGAGAAGAAATATAAACACACTAAAGGCCTCATCTGATTGGAGGAGACTTTGAAATTATTGGCATTGATAAATGCAGATCCTGCTATTTGTTAAACATTTACAGTCAATCAGTAGAATAAAGCAGGCCTGAGAACATCTATCCTTCCTTCTTCTCCTTTCTCATGGGAAGGCCCCGGAGCCCTGGCATGGGGAGCTGTTCAGAGGACCTGAGCCACATGTTCCCAACCCCAGCTTCTCCCCAGCCCCCTGCCCAGGGCTGGGCATCCAGGGGTGTGGGAGTCTCTGCCTCCCCAGCAGCAGGTCCCAGCCAGGTCAGGGGTGTGGTGGCAACAGAGGGGCTGGGAGCAGATCAGGAGACCTTTCTTCCTCCTGGGAAATATCCAGGCCAGATAAGCCAGGCCAGAAACCCACACAGGCCTGATAGAGCAAAGGATCCCGTGGTTCAGACCCGAGCGCTGCAGGGTAGCTGTGTGCAGAGCTGGGCACTACTACTCCTAGGGTGACAGGTCCCGTGTCACACGATCCAGGCATCCCAGAGAACCAGATGCTGCCCTTGACGTGTCACTGAATCAGACATTGTACAACCTCAGTGATACAGACTCAGGAACAAGGCAAGAAACGGGGGGAACTAGGATTCTATTCACAAAAGTGGCCCCTGGTCAATGTGTGAGACCTCCGCAGTGCAGAAAGAGCCGTGAGCAGGACTGAGTATGTGTTGGAAGTTAGAATGTACCCACATGTGGGGAGGGGTCTCCCTCTGCACACCAGGGCCCCTGGGGCAAGGGCTAAGCCTCACCCCTAAACGGTGGCCCTCTGAGGATAAGGGCTGGAACTTCCTGAGCCAGAGAGTGAGTCTCCCCCTCAGCTAAGGCTCCCTTCCCCTCCCCAGGCCCAGTGGCTTTGAGTGAGGCCAGCTTCCTCCTCCCCACCAGGCTTCCCTTCGAGGCCAGCACCAGTCTTGGCCTCCAGGGGGCGCCAAGTGGACACGTCTTGAAGGTGGCCTGGGGCTGGGGAGACCTGAGTTCATTTGACCACACAGATGGTCAGAGCCAAATGAGCCTGGCAGCTGGCAAGCTCATTCCCACCTGACAGAAGAGGTGCTTGGGACTCAAGATGCTGGGCTGTGGCCTGGTGTGGAGGGCAGCCTGGACTACTGTGGTCCATTTCCCTCCCCTCAGGCACAGGAGAGATATGCAATCTTTCCACCCAGGAAAGTTTGGTTCCAGGTCAGCTGTCTGGCAGGGGAAGGAACAGGGAAGACCCTCTTGCTTTAGAAGTGGCCAACACAGCAAACCCCCAAATAACTTCTTGGTTCCAATAAGCAAAGGCCCAGAGAGGGCCGGTAGCTTATCCAAAGTCACACAGCAATTTAGGGAAGGAGCTGGAATTGAAACATAGTGCTCCTGACACCCAATCTTGGCCAAAGGACTCAGAGGAGGTACCTCTGTTGACCATCACTCATGGACAGGTGAGGCCAGGGAACAGCTCACACACTGGAATCCTCTGGCTGCTTCTTTGGCCCTAACATCAACCGTTGCTGCTCTAGGCCAGGGCTGGACGTGGTTGATTTGTCCCCTGCCTCTTTGCTCTGCTGCCTCAGGATGGCCAAAACCAAGGCAAAGCAGACCAGGGAGCCCGTTTTGAAGAAGAACTGGAGTCCAATGAACCTGGGGAGAAACAAGGGACTCTTGGACTCAGGAGCCCCAGGTCCAAGGCTCAGATGTCCTCGGGCTGGGGCTGAGTGGAGTCAGCTGATACCACTCATGGTGCCATCGGAGACCTTGAGGCTGGGGGTGGGGGGCACTGACTCCCAGTGGGCCCTACCCTGGAGGAGGCAGGGAGGCTCTGCAGAGGGAGCCCTTGGCAGGGCAGAAGCCAGCAGGTCCTCCCCACATCCACCCTAGACCAGAGGCCTTGGAGCCTTCAGGTTGCTTTAAGCCCCCATTGTACAGATGGGTAGACCGAGCCCCAGTGAAGGCAGACAGGGCTTTTCCCCAACCCCACCCTCATCTCTCTTACAGTTGGGCAGCTACTGATTCTCCTCGTCTATACAAGAGGGAACGATGTCCTGCACCCAGGACTGGGGAGTTTGCACTGGACATTTTAATGGGACCTCCATTCCCTGCTGGTGTCCTGCCTGGGATTCTGAGGGTCTTCCCAGCGCCTTACCCACATCCCCTGGCCCAAGTCTCACCGGTTCCGGAGCAGGTCATGGTCATAGTAGCGGCAAACAGCTTGACGCCCACAGCTCAGGGCCCAGTGCACACAGGTGGTATCAATGGCACTGCCGTGGATCACAGGGCTGGGCATCCAGGCTAGGGGAGGACGTGCTCAGGGGACAGTAGAGATCCAGCATTCCCAGGCCCCTCACAATCTTTCAGGGGCTCTGGGCCATGGTGGGGGCCTCTAACCCACCCCTTTGCTATGAATCAGAGGAAGCCCCCATCAGACTGGCCTCTACTTGCACCTGGGTTGGGTCTGCTGCCCCCATGCACCTGTGCCCCTGCAGTCTGGCACACAGGGGACATCTGGGTCCCCATCACCACCACCAAAGGGCCCAAGCCGGCTCTTTACCCAGAACTCTCAGGAGCATGAACTGGATCCCCACAGCCAAAGTCTTGTCTTCTTTCTTCACTCCCCTAACAAGCAGGGACACGGCAATGTGAGGGCCGGCGGCTGTATGAAGGTCACCATGCCCTTCTCTGCCGCCATCCAGGCCAGCCCCCTGCCTGCCTCCTGGATCCCTGTGTCTTCTAATATCTATGAGGGGCTTCATTCCTTTCTAATTTTCTACAAAATAGATAGTGAATAAAATAATCCCAACAGAAGGAGGAGTTGGAATGATCTTGCTCCAAGGTCTCCTCATCCCAGCCTCTACCCTGGGGGACCTCGACTTTGGACTCAGGTGACAATCTGTCAGGCCTGGAGGGCACTGTCAGGACAAAGGCCAGGAAGATCTTGGACCAAGAGGCAGTACTGGGCACGGGCTGGATCTGTGGTGGGCGCTATCTGCTTGTGACCTTGGCGGGGCCTCAGGGTCATGGGCCTCACTTTTGCAGTTTGGTCTCCTGGGTGCAGCCCTTGTGGCTCACCCACTGTGGTCAGGGTCAAGTGGAGTCCGCCTCCTCCTTACTGAGTGATGCCTCACTTGGGGGAGGCCAGGCCAGGGCCTTGGGGGCGGCGTCCCCTCCCCTGGTGCGAGGAGGGGCCTGGCTCTGCTGGGACCCCAGTCCTACTCCCCACCCCACACACTTTCTGTAGAACTGGGGCCAGTCCCTGAGCTTCCCACTGTGGCGAGGGGCCTCTTGGTACACCCCCCACCCTGCCTCTGCCTTCACCTTAGAATGAGCATGAAGGAGGGGGTGTGGGTGAGGCTGGCCAGCGCTGCCCCCAGGCTGACCAGGAGAATGAAGGGCAGCACCAGGTGGCTGCAGGCTGAATCGCAGGAGCCCGCAAGCACCAGACCACGCCCGCTCACGCAGCTGCAGTTGGTGTAGAAAACCTGGTGGGAGAAGGGGGAGTGGAGCCTTCAGAGCCTCCAAGGGCAGCGGCTGGCTGAGGGGCTGAGGCTGGGGGAGGCACCCCAGAGGCCCAAGGCCCACAGCCAGCTGGGCTGGCGCTGGCTGGAGTTGGGACTCTGTCCCTTAGCAGAGTGCAGGTGGCTGGAGGAACCACGCAGGTGCCTGGACAGACTGGGCAGGGCCTGGGCTATGGCTACTGGCAGCAAGAGAGAAGCAGAGAAAGAAATCGGGAGGGACTGGGAATAGCAGCAGCCCCAGAGACGCACCCAACGCAGGGAACCGCCCTGGAGCGGCGCCGGGTGTCTGACCACAGCCTGCGTTCACACTCCCTGGGAGCCTGGGGACCTCCAGCCAAGGGCTCTATAAGAAGTGGTCTGGCTGCAGTGAACTTGGGCACCTGATAGGAGCAGAGCCAAGCCAGGAGGCTGGGCTTTTCTTCCCATCAGATCAGCATTTCTTGATGGGTGTGCCCAGAGTTGCAGGTGGGCACGGGTGTGTAGGGGTGGGTCCTGTCCACTCTCAGGGCAGCCAGGCTGCCCTCTGCCTCTCTCTCCTCAGCCATGGCAGCCTCAGACACTGCCCTGTGTGAGCAGGCTAGGGAGTCCTCAGGAACCTGGCTGGGGGCCTGCAAGCCCAGCAGAGATGGAGCTGAGGGTGCTGAACTAAGGATGCCCAGGAGGCTGCTGGGAGGTGAACTGGTGGGGTGCAGGAGAAGGGCCCCATTGTGGGTCAGGGTTGGATGGGTAAAGGAGTTTTTATTTGAGATTATTTAGGAGGTAAAATTAAAGAAAGGTCCACGTGCATGTGTGTGTGTGTGTGTGTGTGTGTGAGAGAGAGAGAGAGAGAGAGAGAGAGAGAGAGAGAGAGAGAAAAGAAAGGGACTTCAGCTTGGGTAACTCTCGGATGCTCTTTCCATTGTCCTGCAGAGCTCATGTGCAGGACAGGGCTGTGCTGCCACATGTGTGTGACCTCCTAAGTCCACACCATGTCATACTGCAGGGAAGGTGGTCTTAGCCCTTTGCTACTGGCTGAACAGCCCTCTGGCTGGAGATACAGTGGAGGGACAGGTGATGAGGAAGCACGTTAAGGCCAGGTTATGGCAGAGGGATGTCCTGCCACTGCTCCTTGGCTCAGAGGTAGAGGCTCTGGGATGGACACCAAGGCCAGACTTTTCTCTCAGGATCTGCCTGACCCTGCACTCATGTTTATCCAATCTTGGCAGAAATTCTTCTCACAGATGCCCTCTGTCTTTCCTGCTGCCTCTGACTCCCACTCCCTGAAAACTCAGCCCCATCCTTTGAGTCTGAGACCCCCCTAACACCCACCTTCCCCCTCTCACCCCATCACTCACTCGTTCATGGAGCACAACCATCCTGTGCATGGATCCACCCATCCCGAAGCCCAGGTGCTCTCAGTGGGCCTGAGGAGGCACATGTGCCAGGGGAAACTCGAGCCAGCATGACCCCATGTATTGACCCTGACTAGGCCACACCCTCCTTCCAATACTATACCCCAACTCAATCCTCTGTGGTGGTCCAAAGCGGGCTGGGCTGGGGCCAGAGCCTCAGGATCTAACCCCAGCTCTGGTATTAAGATTCTGCAAGCTGGGTGCGGTGGTGCATGCCTGTAATCCCAGCAGCTTGGGAGGCTGAGGCAGTAGGATTGCAAGTTCAAAGCCAGCCTCAGCAACTCAACGAGACCCTGTCTCTAAATAAAATATTAAAAAGGCCTGGGGAGGTGGCTCAGTGGTTAAGCACCCCAGGTTCAATCCCCAGTACAAAAAAAAAAAAAAGGAAGAAAGAAAAAGACTCTGGGCACTGCTTGGTCTTTTTCTGGGTCTTCATTTCCCATCTGCACGATGGGCATAACAGGAGTGGTACTGGGTGCTTCGAATCTCTAGGCACAGTGCCAAGTGCTCTTACGGATGATGCCATGTGGCTCTTCACTTACTAATTAATGAGTTCACCCAGGAAAGCATTTATTTAGCTCAGGCCCCACGATCTAGAAGGCATTCCATAATACCATCTCTGTGTACAGACTAGGAAACTGATGCACAGATTAAATAATCTGCCTAAACCAATGGAGCCAGGTAGAGGCAGAACAGGGATTTAAACCAGGTGGCCTGGCCCCTCAGTGTTCAGGGACCCATAACTGTAGGAGTTTGCCACCTACCCAGGATCTTGTCCTGGGCCTGATGGTCCTGGAAGAGTTTTCAGAGAGGTCAAACGAGGTCAGGACAGTGAGAGCTAGGAGGCCCCAAAGACTGGGACAGCCGTTATTCCAAACACCAACAATTGACACAGCTGTGGCTACCCCTGGCTGGCTTCTGAAGGCCTACCAGCCACAGCCACCAGCCACAGCCACCAGCCAGGTGTTTTCCTCTGCAGAAGCTGGGGCCCTTCATCTCCCTGGAGGAGACTTGGGTTTGGTGCTCATGCCCAGCACTAGAAGTTCTGCCCAACAGGTGGGGACTCTGGAGAGGGGAAGATGTTGTCATAACAACCAGGCTGATACCCCCCCCACACACACACACATGCTTGGATATAGCCAGGGCCTAAGGAAGGAGGGTATTAGCCCTATTTGTCATTTGGGGGAGCAGAGGAGAAAGGGGAGGGGCAGTAGTGGGTCTTGGGCAGAGGCCCAGGTCTGCACAGAATGCTGCGGCTGCTCACACTGCCCCTGTTTCCCTGCCGGGAGCTCCCTGAAGGCCAGGCCCCTTGGCTGTAGGTCCTCAGTCCCCTACACAGGGCCAGACACAGAGGAAGGGCTCTGAGGAAGCTTCACTGAGTGACTGGCTGGGTGGCCTGTGCCAGCCTCCCCATTGTCTCTGTGCCTCCTGCCTCTGCTCCTTCCTCCATACCGAGGCCTCAGGTGTGGTTGAGTACAGATACGATGCTGCCACTCCCCTGCTTAAACCCCCCAGGGCTTCCCATGGATCTGCCCGAAACATCCCCACTCTTGCACAGGCATCCACGGTCCTTCCTTTTCTGAGTCCACCCATCAATTTCTTCCAGATCTTTTTTGCGATACTGGGATTGCACCTGCTAGACGAGCACTCTATACTGAGCTACGTCCTCCCACCCCGCTGCCCCGCCGCCCACCTTTCTTCAATTTTGAGAAAGGAGCTCATTAAGATTCCTGGGTTGGCCTCAAACTTGCAATCCTCCTGCCTTGGCTTCCTGAGTAGCTGCGATGACAGGCATGTCCCACTGCACCAGCCCAAATCTTTACATATGCTGTTCCCTGACCTGGAAAGCCCTTCCCGCCCAAGTTCCGGTTTTCCCATCCATCCTTAAAGGTCTGGCACAAATGCAGGGCCCTTGGAGCCCTCTGGGACCCACTGGAGTGGGTGGTGTTTCCTTCCATCCTTGCAGGAACTGCAGGGACCATTCTGCCCGTCAGCACCCCTGGAATTCCTGTGGGCTCTTTTCTTTTGCAACCTCCCCAAACAGAGAGCTGGGGGCCAGAACTGACCCACCTCCCGGGGCCAGGCCGTGCTGTAAGCTTATTGAGAGAATAATGTTCTACATCTGCCAACAGAAGGAGAAAGAGACAGAGGCAGAACTCCAATAGAATGGGAGGGTTCAGAGGAGCAGGGACAGGTCTGCAGAGATGCAAAGGGTAGAGGCCCCGAGGGGCACAGTTGTGCCAGACGCTGCCTCACCTGGCTTTTGTCCAGGCCCTCCTGGGCCACTTGGCTTGTGCAGCCGGCGTGGCAGGGCGTGATGTACTCCACTCGGGTGCTGGGGTCGCAGACAGGGTTAAAGTCGTCCGACGGGCAGGAGCAGGGCTCCGCACAGCCTGGAAACAGCTCCAGCCCGGGCTGCGTGCTGATGGGGGAGAAGGACAGACGGCAAGGTTGGTCCAGCTCTCCTCCCTCGGGCCTCGAGCTGGAGCCACCCTGGCAGCTCCCTGGGAGCAATGGCCAGAGACCCGAGCTGTGGCTGGGGTTTCTTGCTGTTGGGTGACCCTGTAGAGGGGCCGTGGTGAGCTCCCGCAGCGGGGGCGTGGGAGCGGGGAGAAGGGTAAAAGTTCTTGAGGTCTCCTGACAGGAGAAGGGGGGAGTCTGGGCTGGAAGCCGTGGAACCTCTTATCTGCCCTCAATCCTAAGGAAATATCTCTGCTCCTCAGGGGCCCTTCCCTAGGGAACGCAAGGGAGTTCCTTCTAGAACTTAGTGTTGGATCAAGGGGCCATTCTCGCTGGGAGGTGGGTAGCTTCTTATTCTCAGAAAATGACAGCTATACAGGGGGACTCATGGGAGATTTGACCAGCTGTGGGATCTCCAATGCTCCTGCCTCGCTCTGGGCCTCAGTTTCCCTGTCTGTCAGCGGGGCCAGGGCTCCTTCCTGCCTGTCACCCTCCCAGTCTCATGACCTCGCTGCTCACTCTATTGTCCTGATCACTGTGCCCAGCCCCACTGCCTCCCTCCTGAGGGCCTGCTACCAAATCTCAGGGATGTCCCTACTCCAGGGAGTCAGGACAAGGTGGGGGTATACAGGGGCAGGAGGTGAGAGAAAGGCTGAGTCCACGGGGGCAGATCACTCTGGGACAAGGACAGGGAGATGTCTCCCTGGGATGCAGGCTATGGTCTGGCTTCATGCTAGGAGGGAGCATAGCACACCTGGCAGGAGAAAGAAGCCCAGAGAGGCTGATGCTTTGTACAGGGTCACACAGGAGGCCAGCATCGGCCAGGCTGCAGAGGAGGGAAGCAAGGGGAAGGCTGGAGGTCCCCACCTTGGGTTTGGGGAGGGAGTGGGGCAGAGACCCAGGCTGATGGCAGGTCTGACAAGTTTAGCAAAATCTCAGTTCCATGAAGAAGAGGAACTGACAGGGCTGGGGAGGCCAGGAGAGGAACAATGACTGAGATGGGCCTCTGGAAACCTGGGGGGGGGGCAGGGAGGTGCTATCAGGGCAGAGGTGAGCTTCTCCCTCCCTTAGGTGGGAGTCTCCCCTGAGCCCGGGGGATGGGGGGGCATCACCAGCACAGCCCTTTCCTTCTCCTCCCTGTCCCACAGGCCTGCTCCCATCCTGGCACGGCTCCTTTGGGAGGGGACACAGGTTGATGCTACCCTGAGCCAAGCCGAGGACTCCTCAGGAGACTGTGCCTATGGGAATCTGCCTAGGGGGAGGCACTTCCCAGAGCCATCGGCCAGCAGCTGGAAGGCTGAGCAGGTGAGAGCTGGTGGGGGTGGGGGCTTCCTCAGTTCCACCTCTCTCCTTGGATCTCATTGCTTCTGTGGGGAGAGTGCTGGCCCAGGTTTTGCCTCCTCCCAGCTGGCTGGGTGATCTTGCTGCTCTGAGTCTCACTAAAATGGATAATATGGGGGCCCACGGCTGGGTTGAGTGAGAGACCCTTGACTCTTGGGAGCTGTTCCTGCCTCTTGTGAGTCATGTGCAATGGTGCACATCTATAATCCCAGCAGCTTGGGAGGCTGAGGCAGGAGGATTGCAAGTTTGAGGCCAGCCTCAGCAACTTAGCAACTTAGTGAGGTCCTGAACAACTTAGCAAAACCCTGTCTCAAATGGATGTGGCTCAGTGGTTAAGTGCCCCTGGGTTCAAGTCCCAGTACCAAAAACAAAAAAACATGAGAAGTTTGACTTGCTCAGTTGGTCCCTAAAAGCTTCTTCAATGACTTAGAACCCAAAACTTGGTGACTAAATTGCAAGAATGTTGATGAGAACTCTGGTGAGATCAGATGTCAAAGCCAAGGAGGGAGAGGAGAAGGAGGGAGAGAGGGCAGGAGGGAAGGGCTGACTTTCCCCAGTTACTTAAAAAAATTGTGATAAAAATATTCATTTAAATATTAAAACATTTACTTTTTGCTATAAAGGAAATCATTGAAAGGAACTGGGTCCCTCCTCCATCGAGGGGTTTCCCACAGGGTTTCCCTGGCTGCAGTGACCAGACTGGGCTCTGCACACTCAAGGCCCACGCCAGACAGCTGAGCTGCCTCACTGTTCTGTATGAGAAAAGAAAGGAGAGAAGGAAGGGGAGGGAGAGAGGCCCAAGGATGGGACCTGGGATCCCTTGGCCCTGAGCAAGGGCCCCTGTAGCTGCAACCAAGTGGAAGAAGCCCCAGGTGAGGAAGGCTGGCACCTGGGTGCAGGAAGGAGATGCCAAGCAGGAGGCTGGCAGGGGAGGTGGGGATTTCTTGCTGGGTGCTGGGCCAACCTAAGCCTGGAGCAGTTTCCAGGAAAAATGAGATCATTCTGGGACAGAGGGCGGAGAGGAACTTCCAACAACCTCTCCAAGAAGGCTCCCAAGGGGAGGCGGGTACATGTGATGTGGGAGGGGGAGGAAGTAGGAGGGAGTGGGGGTGTGGGAAGAAGTGGGAGGGGCATAGGCATCAAGGACCTTACTGTGGAGGAGGGGGCAGTGCTGCCCCACAGACTTGGACAAAGACTTCTGCAACGCTAGGATCATGGGACAACAGAATTGTAGTTCCCAGGATCTAAGAACCAAGAATCTCAGAGACTTCCAGCCTTTCCATGCATAAGTCCCTTTGACAGCATCCTTGGTAGGGGCCATTGACCCTCAACTTCTCTCCCATCTTAGCCCAAGGGCAGGGCCTTGCTCCCTCTGGGCAGGCTCTAACCTCTGGCTGGGAGCAAAAGCTTTCCTCTGGTTGAGCCAGGTCCTACCTCTTATGACATAGCCTTCATTCACTTATGCTGGCCCTGCAGGGCGCGGCCACTCTGGAGATGCCATTGCACCAGTGGTTTTGCCCCAACTCAGCCTGCAGCCCTCTCCAGGCCTGAGCTTCCCTGCCCTTGAAGTTCCATCTGGGCCCCTTTTAATGGTGCCTGCTGCCTTCCACAGAGAATGTCCTGTGCCTGAACCTTAGCTGAGGGAGGGGCTGGAATGGAGGATTCTGGGGCAGAGGTGGAGAGATGGAGCTACAGGGAAGTGAGAGTAAGGTAAGGGATGCCCCACTGATCTGGCTTCTGCCAGGTCCACTGCCCTCCCCGTCCCAGCCTCCCCTTGCTGGCCCTCACCCCCCCCCCCCCCCACACACACACCTGGGCTGGTGGATGATGCCTGCAATCTGGTGGGTAGAACAGCCAATGAAGAAGAGGGGCAGGTTGAAGAGCAGGCAGAGCAGCGACCCCAGCAGGCAAAGGGCACCACAGCGCATGGGGCTCAGGTGGAGGCGCTTGACCAGGACGCCCCCCACCACAATGCCCACGATGGCTGAGGGGATGGTGAGGCCCCCAATGAGCAGGTTGGCATAGGAGGCTGTGATGGAAAACTGGCGCTCCAGGAACTTAGGCAGGAAGGTGGCCATGCCCGCCGCCATGCACGACATGCACACCTGGGACAGGACCACCAGCAGGAAGATGGGGTGGCGCAGCGTCCGCAGCAGCACCCTGGGGAAGACTGTTGGGTAAGTGGGAAAGAGGTGGGCATGGGCAGGCCGGCTCTCCACACCCCGTGCCTGTCCATCCCCTCCTGTTCAGTTCAAGCCATTCTGTTCCTTTCCATTCCTTCCGCCCATCCCATTCCATTTAATTATTTTGCATTCATTTCTGATCTATTGCATTTGACTCCATTCCATGTAATTCTATTCCAGTTTTGAAATTCTGTTTCTTTCCTTCCATGCCATTGAGTTAGACTGCATATTATCCAACGTGTTCATTTCCATTAAATTCTATTTAGTTCTGTACAGTTCTGGTCCATGCCATCCCTTTAGATTCCATTTCATTATTAACTCCATCTGATCCCATTTCATTCTTTCAATTCTACTTAATCATCCCTTTTCCCCAGCTAGGCCCCTTCCATCCTGTCCTGCTATAGCTCTTTCCAAACTGACCCAGACCTAGTCCTCCCTCCTGGGTCCCCAACCCAAGCCTGCATCCCTAGTTTCTCCAGAACATTTTGCCTAACAGATTACACATTTTCTTCATTTAACTGTTTTATTGTCTTCCCAACCTGTTTTTTTTTTAAGATCAGGTTTTTATTGTTGTTGTTGTTGTTTTGTTTTGTTTTCTAGACTGTTGTGTTAATTACTGAACCTCCAGAGCAGGGGCACAGGAGGCACTCAATACACAAATGAAGAATGAATGAAGAAATGAAGGAATGACGACGAATATGTGTTCAAATATCAAAATGTCTGGGGCCGAATCTAAGGCCTCTAGAGAAGGTGAAACCCTAGAAGGCCTAGTACTGGGAGGCTTCCTGGAGTTGGGACAAACCTAGAGGGGTCCTGGAGAGGCAGACTCTGAAGGAAAAAGAATTCTGTAGAAGCCCAGCATGGCCCAAGCTTGGAGCGTGGAACAGAGGCGGCCGCTGGGGAACTGATGACTCTTCCACCCCCATCTCCTGTCCCTAAACAGTGCTTTGCCTCATTGCAGGTCTGCTAACCTGCGTGGAACACGGGGATGGATAAGTCCCTTGCCCTCTGAGGTCCAGTGCCCTCATCAATAGGGGCAGCCCAGGGAACGTCCAAAGGCACTTTCTGTGTTCACATGTGCCACCCGCTCTCCACTCTCAGCAAAACAGGGAGAGCCGTGTTTCTACCTGCAGCAGGCAAGACTGAAGTTAGACAGGGGTGAGGGAGGAAGAGAAGCAGAGCATTTGCCAGGCTGCGGGGCCAAGCCAGCTGGTGCCCTAGTGCCTTGGGTAGGGAGAGGAGCTGTTTCCTTAGAAGCCAGGAAATAAAGAGAGATGGTCCAGGTGGGGTGGGAGGGGGCTGGGGCTATGGAATTCCCCCTCTGCGCAAAGCCCATCCAGCCAGTACTTGCAGTGCAGCAGCATGGCCTGGCCTTCACCCCAGGAGACTGCTGGGCCTCTCTCCCTCCCTCCTGTGAGCTGCCTGGCTAGGGCATCTGAGGTCCTGTATGTGCCAGGGGATTTTTGCTATGGCTTGATCCAAGTTATACAGACTCAAGTTATACCTTCACTGCAAGGTGGGGCCCAGCAAGGAGCAGGGACACGCCCAGGCCCAGGTTCAACCAGACCAAGGCCAGGAATTCCCCAGAGTCCCCTGACTCCTACTGCAGTGCCATTCTCCCTGGATCCCCTCCTCCCTCCTGCTCCACTCCTAGCCTCTCTGGCAGCCTGACTTCAGAGAGTTCCATCCACTGATGGTTTCTTGCACTAATCACTGCAGTGAACTATAGGCACATCCTCCATCTCAGAACCCACAGCCTTCTCCAGAACAGATGGAAAATTCCTGGAGGACAGGGCTGTGCCTTTCACTCAGCACTACCTGAAAGGGAATTCTAGGGCCTGCCTCCGGCTCAAAGGCAAGCCTTCCTGAAAAGACAGGGCTTCCCTCAGCTCAGCACATGGTCTCCACCATCAGACATACCAGGGCAGACAGTCACTCGGTGACAAAGCCAGGGGCCTCTCTCAACTCAGAGGCCTGTACCTGCCTCAAATAGGACAGGCCCACTCAGTTTAGGACCGATCCCATGGGCCAGGGGCTTTCTTTAACCCAAGGACAATGTCTCCCTCATTAGTCAGTCTCCCTCATTAGCCTCCCCCAGCTCAGGAACCTCATATCCTCCATCAGACATCCCCCATGATTCCAGGTGGTCAAGGCCAGGCTGTGGGTCAGCCTGGCCCCTGTGGAGCTCAGTAGAAGCCCAGAAACCAGGCTGGCTAACTGGCCACAGGGCCCATGGTCAGCCCTGTCATGGTCTCCTGCAGGCTCATGTAGAAGCTTAAACTACCAGAGACAAGCTGGCCTAGAACCCCAACTCTAGGATTCAATTTCAGCAACTGGCTCCAACTTCCCTCTGGGCAGGAGCCAAAGCAGTGATTAATAAGCTCTTCCATGGTGCAGTGTGCTGAGGGCTTCCAGCAGCTGGGGATGACCTGAGGTTAAGGAGTCCAGGCCCCTGCCTCAAGGCTCAACCTTATGGAGTCCAGGCATCCCTTTCCCTGGGAGTGCTGGAGATCAGGGCTGGGGGATGGGGGGCTAGATTACTAATACCCCCAACGTCGAGTCTTAAGAAGCTCTTCCCAAGGATTGGGCCTAATTCTTCCCTGTTGAAAAGTCCCCAGTGAGGGATTATGAATGACACCATCCTGAACCACAGGCAGCTCCATTTATGGTCGTAATAAGAATTATAGGGTAGGAGTGGTGATGGGAAGAATTGTTCCTTTTGGAAGTATAGTTTTAAAAACAATGTATAGGGACTTTCCATTTATCATCCCATTTGATTAGGGCTATCATCCTTGAGAGTGGCAAAGATTACTGACCCAATCTTTCAGATGAGGAAACTCAGGGAAGGAAAGGAACTCTACCAGACTGTACACTGGCTAGTGTGGTGGGCCGGCCTCAAGTCCAGGTTGTCTGACTTGCCATCCAGGGCTCTCCCAGAGCCTGCCACACAGCAGGCACTCAATCAGTGTTCATGGGATTGGACTCTTTAGAAAGGACTGCCTGGTCTCTTGTGGACTCTGGTGACGGGATTGATCCAAGCTACATTATTCTTATCTCATTAAGTCTGAGTCTTACTGTATTGAGAAATTGCATGGAGGAAACTGAAGCCCAGAGAGAAGCAAGGACCCAGAATAAAAGCTCAGGTCTCTAGATCTCAGCCCAGAGCCCCCTCATCTATGCCACAGCCTAGGACTTTAACAAGTATTTACTGAGGCCCTGTTTGCAGGCTCATTGGTGGGTGGGAGAGGAAGAGCTCAGGCCTTGACCTTCAGAGACTCCTCACTTAGGGGAAGGGCTGGATAAGTACATGGCACAGATCTGAGCTGATACAGAAGCTCTGAGGGTTCTGAGAGCCCAAAGGAGGGAGGGAAGCAGCCTTGCTTGCTAGAGAGCCAGGCATGCTGAAGCAAAGAGTGGCTCTTGAGCTTGACCTAGAGGGACAAGAAAGATTTTGACAGACAGCAATAAAAGCAGATGTTCTGGGCGGAGAGCAGAGACTCACAAGATGTTCCCAGCCAAGACTCAGAAGGAATGTATGGTGCTCATGACAGGCCTGCAGGAATAGAAGGTGAATAGAGAAAGGCAGGTAGGGGTTGGGTCATGCATGGTCCTCTGGCCCTGCCTCCCCAGCACCTGGCCTGAACTTGATGAACTTGATGAACTCACCTTTGATGAACTTGATCACAGACAGGTTTGGTGCAATCTGGACTAGGTCATCCTGCTTCTTCAGGGACTCCCCAGGGTTCTGCTCAGAGGGAGAGTTCTCACCCTGGGGAAACATACAATCAAGGGTAGTCAGCTGGATGCCAGAGATCCTACCCAGAGATGGCTTTGGACTCAAGGAAGCTCTGTGGAAGGGTGGGGAGAGGGGAAGCTCTGTCACTTCATCAGACACAATGGAGGCCAACAGTGTTCCATTTGTTCTTGGACCTATAGGTACTCAACGGAGGGTTTTAAAAGAGGGAATAATGGCGGGGTGGTTGGCACACATCTGTGATCCCTGTGGTTTGGGAGGCTGAGGCAGGAGGTTTGTAAGTTCAAAGCCAACCTCAGCAAATTAGTGAGGCTCTAAGCAATTTACAAAGACCTTGTCTCTAAAATAATAATAAAATATGAATACTAATAAAATATTAAAAAGGGCTGGGGGTATGGCTCAGTGGTTAAATGTCCTTGGATTCAAACCCTGATATAGATATAGATATATAGATTTAGATATATATAAAAGGAGAGAACAATGAAATTCCTATAGCTAAACTTTGTCATCACCATCATTAGCATATTAATAGTCACCAACTCGACCATGAAAATTACCACCATAACTATCATCATCAGTATTATTCCTGTTACCTTAAAAATCGTCCCAAATCATATCTCCAGTATCCTGAATACATGACCAGTTGATTCGCAACGATACTATCATCACAACATGATTATTACTACCATTGTCTCTGTCATAGTTCCCACCATCACCAGCACAACAATTGGGATTGTTATCACTGTCGCCTGAACCAATATGATTATCAGAATCATCAAGAACATGATCACTGTCTTGAACACCATCATTATCTTTGCCAGGGTCTTCACCCAGTATCAGTGTCACCAACCTCATCTTCATCACCACCACCATATCACCACCAATGTCACCAGGAACACCGTCAACTCATGATCCTGTCATCATCACTACTCTCACCACCAATTATCTCCATTCCTCACATCATTATTAATGTCACTCCTACTGCTGCCATCAATGGTGTCACAGCTATCCCAACACCACCATCATCTGTGTTGCTGTCACCATTAAAATCTTTTCCACTCCCACCACCATCAGCTTCACCAACATGATGACAACCATCTCTCTCTCTTCAGTTATTATGTCATTCATGACTGTCATCACCTGGACAGTCACCAGGAGCAAGTGCCTCCAGTGAGCTGGGCTACCATGAGGTGGGGATGGTGTGGGTCTACGGGCCCATCCTGTTCTTTACTGTCTTCTGGGGAAGAATGGGAGCTGGAGGATTAGGACAAGAGAAAACAGCCCCCTTTCCTCCCTGGGAAGAGTCAAGCCACCCCTGGAGGATGTGTTCAGCTCTGGGCCAAGGCTGTGAGGATGCCCACGGACACCACGGAGAAGGAGCCTCAACCTGGACAAGGATGGCCTCCATGCAACTCCTGAAGGAGAGGTCTGGGGAAGAGAAGGCTTGTGTGGTTGGGCACAATCACCATTTTGGAAGGAAATAATAATAAACGGTGGTTAATGCCTATGACGTGCTTGCTCCATGCACCGACTACACAGTTTTAAGGACTCGCATAGAACTCACGGTGCCCTCCCCAACAGCTTTCGAAGTAGATGCCGTCCTTTTTATTCACATGACCAAACAGACACAGAGATGAAGTAACTTTCCTCAAGTCACACAACTAGAAAGTGGCCCACCTAATGTCAAACCCGGACAGACAGCTCCACTCCAGAGTCTGGGCTCTGAGCTGCTACAGCCTACAGGAGGGAGGCAGCCGAGGCCGCTGAGGCCCGGGTGATTCTCCTGCATCCCAACCCAAACACTGTGAGGCAGGTGCTATCTCTGTGCGCACTTTTTAGATAAGGAAACTAAGTCTTGGAGAAGTTGGTACTGATACAGGGTCATTCGAATGTCTAAGTGACCAAATGGGGTCTGATTTCATACATTCCGCTATGCAGCCTGAGCTCGGAATGAGAAGGAACCAGTTCTATGGAAGACTATGTAAGTCCACGGTAAAGAATAATTTGGAAGAGGCTGCCCTGGGAGCCAGTCAGCTCTCCATAACTAGGAGTGTGGTCCAGGAGGCTGGGTGCCATCAGGCGGGTGGGCTGGGCTCCTCAGGTTTTCCCTCTTGTCTCCCTGAGTTCCCTACAGACCTGGCCCCCCTTTGTCAGGGTCTGACATCTTTCTTCTTCTCTGTATTTTTATGGACCTCATGAGGCAAATGCTGGATCTCCCCACATTTCAGAATCCCTGTAGGGGCGGCCACGCATCCTCATCCTCAGCATCCTCATCCTCATCTCGCCTTGCTCCCTGGGCTGGCTGCTAAAAGCCTGTCCTGTCCCTGCAGGGCGATTCATTCAAACCTTCATTCCTTGTGTCCCTCTCCCCCGGGGTTTCCCTGGCTCCTCCCTTCTTTCATTCCAGCAGGGAGCAGGCTTTGAGTTTCCTGGCCTCAGGGGACTTTTGTGGCAAGGCAGAGAGCACTAATGAGTTGCCAGGTTTTCCCTCCTAGCTTTTGTTTTCAAAGCTTGAGGCCATTGGGAGAATTCTGTGGGTTGAGGCAGGGGGTGTGAGGAGAGGGAGGCCTGGGAGAGTGAGCAGAAGGGAATGACATTCTCTGCAACAAAACTCTGGAAACCAGGCTGGGACAGACACGGAGCCCTCTGTGGGTTCTGTAAGAAGTGGGGAGCCACCCTCAGAGATGAGGCCCAGGGAGGCAGGTCACCTCTGAATACCAGGCTACAGGATGCCCTAGGGAAGTTGGGCCCCTGTGGTCCTAGCCACACAAGACTCCTCTGCTCCCATATGGGTCAAGATGGCAGGTGGGCATGGCTGTAGTGACATGGGTGGTGTGGGGCCCACCTGGAGCCTGGGCACTAAAAACCTCAGGAACTTTGCTTCAACTTGGTGGGAGATCCTTGAGAAGGGCTGAGGTTTAGTTTTTGGCGGATCTGGCAGTATAGGCCTTTAGAGTAGAAGTTATGTTGATTCTTAGAGAAAATAAATAATATCTGCTTATCACTATGCGCAGTAGCACCCTATAATCTGTGACTCGGGAGGCTGAGGCAGAAGAACAGCAAGTTTGAGGGCAGCCTGGGAAACTCAAAATAAAAAAGAAAAAGGGTTAGAGATGCAGCTCAGTGGTAGAGCACCCCTGGGTTCAATACCCAGTATAGAACCAAAAAAAAAAAAATATCTACTTTATATACACTTAGGTCTGGGTCAAACCTTGCTCTGTGTCTATCTTCCCTGCTGGACTCTGAGCACTGTAAAAGCAAGAATCATGTTTATCTTGTTCTCTGTTGAAACCCTGGTTCCTAGCACAGGGCCTGGGGCAAAACAGTGAGCATCAGACAAATTCCCATTAAAAGAAGGAGTATAAGAGACAGCTCCAGCCAGCATTGCCAGGTTCTTGGAAGAATAATGAGAACATCAAGAGGAGACGCACATGCTGGGAGGGAGCTCTAGCACTGTGTGTTCAGAGACCAGCAAAGGGTTCCCAGAGCACCCCAGGGGCTAGCAGAACTGAGATTCAGTCCACAGGGATGTGGACCAAGGGCTTCATGTGCATAAACCTGCTCCACCTTCTCTGAGACCTGCCGAAGGAGCTGGACACTTCTTCACATGTGACCAAACAAGCTCTGAGATTAGGTGACTTGTTCAACAACACACATTTTGAAAGCAGCAGAACTGAGCTCCAGCTTGTAGGTAGGAAACTCATGCTTTCTCCACTAAATCCTCTGAGTCAGCTAGCTGCCCTGGTCAGGACGGGCAGAGTCAGGAGACATCTTACTAGTATGATTTTTTTTTAGTTGTTAATGAACCTTTATTTTATTTATTTATATGCAATGCTAAGAATCAAACCCAGTGCCTCACACATGCTAGGCAAGTGCTCTACCACTGAGCCACATCCCCAGCCCCAGTAGTATAATTTGAAGGGGCCTGAAATCTCACCATTGAAATTTTCTTCCGGTGAGACACCTGGACCTATTCACTTATACCTTAGAGCCACATCTGGCTGCTAAGCACCTAAAATATGGCAAGTTCAACTTGACATATGTCCTAATTGTAAAATACTCATTATGTCTTGAGGACTTAGTGTCAACAATGGAAAAGACTTCATTATTTTTTTATGTTGGTTATATGCCCAAATTAGAACATTTTAGATATTATTCTATGTACTATAGAATAATGTTATTAACATTAATTTCTTTTATTTTTGAGTGTGGCTGTTAGAAAATTTAGAATTAGGGGCTAGGGTTGTGGCTCAGTGGTGGAGCACTTGCCTAGCATGTGTGAGGCACTGGGTTTGATTCTCAACACCACATACAAATAAATAAAATAAAGGTCTATAAACAACTAAAAAAAAGAAAATTTAGAATTATATAAGGTGGCTCCTGTGGTATTTCTTTTGGATTTGTTCTTGCCATGGGAGAGTGGCCTGGGAAGGACACCACAGTGGAGCCAGGTGCTGCCCAAGGAAGGAAAGAGGAGAAGCTGGAGAGAGACCGAGAGCTTTCCAACATTCTTATCAGGGTGATTTAGGCTTATCCTTGAAAAACAAGCAGAATCTTGGTGAGTTCCTCATCTCCAGGTAAATAATAAAAATATCAGTAGTGTCATCTGTTCCCACATGTACATCCTTATAAGGTCTACACAGTCACATCCACCATGTCATGAAATTCCCACTAGAGCCTGTTTGATGTAGGCATCATTTGTTTACCCACTTTACAGAGGAGAAGTCTGAGGCCCCCAAAGAAAAATGCCACCACAAGTTATTGGTAGATCAGGCTCTCAAAGCCAGGCTTTCCCGTATCCCTGACTCTTGTTGTGAAAAAGAGCATGGGGTGTGAAGACCAGAAGGGAGGACTGATCTGTGGGGCCAGGGAAGACAGAAGGAGTTGGTAGGAAGGAGTTGGGTTGGGACTGGGTAGAAGGAAGGGAGAGGTGATTTGAAGCAGGGCTTAGTATAAACTAACGCATGGTAGTGAGAAGAAGCCTGTATGGGGGCAGGCAGTTGGGACACCAGCCT